ATTGGTCTTATGAAGTATTCTAATTTGTTGAGATAGTGAATTGGTGGGTTTTTGTTAAATGTGAGCCAAAATCTTCACAATTAAAAGAACCAAAGACTTAAACTACTTCAGTCTGTGTGCATTGAATTTATTTAATACACGAGTTTCACAATTTGAATTGAATTACTGAAATAAATGAACTTTTCCATGACATTCTAATTTATTGAGATGCACCTGTAGAAAGCTGAATGGCTGATCTCATTTTTGATGCAGTTTAAGAGGTTTTACAGGATATGCTGTTTAATTGATTTTGTTCAGTAAGACTTTACGGCAGCTAATAAACGCATTCTAACACATTCTGATTTGATGTAAAGGGCAATATGAAATGCATAAAATATTACATTAAATGTGCATAATTTAATAAATGTCATATTGTCAGTAGAGTTTGGAACTTAAAGGGTTAGTTCACCCAAAAATGAAAATTAGCTTGTGTTTTACTCGCCCTCGAAGCATCCTAGGTGTATATGACTTTCTTCTTTCAGACGAATCTAGTCGGAGTTATTTAAAAAATTGTCCTGGCTATTCCAAGCTCTATCATTGTAGTCAGCGGGTGTTGCAGTTGAACAGTCCACAAGTCGTCAAATTCGTCAAAGCTTGGGCATTCATAATAAAACGTGCTGCAGATGGCTCCAGGGGATGAATAAAGGCCCCCTGTAGCGAATCCATGTGTTTTTGAAAGAAAAATATCCATATTTCAAACGTAATAAACACTTTTCTCTCACTTCTGCTGACTGTCATACACTGAAGCAGTTCCGGTGGATGATGCAGCACGTATGCGCAGCGTGCGCGCCTCTGAGATATGCTAATCTCTCGAGTTTGTTTATAAGAGCAAAGGAATCAAAGTTTCCTTACTTTAGCAAAGGAAAATCAGTCTCTTCTTGGTTTATATAGAAATCCTCCGACATTTTTCTTTGCAAATCCTCTGTTTGTACTTCTAAATCGTGACTGGCATTTTGTTCTCTCCCTACATTCGTCACTAATCACGCAACGCATACGTGCTGCGTCATCCGCTGGAACTGCTTCAGTGTATGACAGTAGAAAGTCATATACACCTAGGATGCCTCGGGGGTGAGTAAAACACAAGCTAATTTTCATTTTTGGGTGAACTAACCCTTTAATGTGTTGGTTACAATAGAGAAATTTTGGCAAAGTTACTCTTTTAAAAAAAAAAAAAGGGTCCATTGCCGATAGTGACGCTTTTATCCAAAGCAACTTGCATTGCTTTTATGATACACATTTGACCAATTCTTGTATTGCCTTGGAAACTAACTCTTGACCTTTACATTGGTAGCACTGAAGCTTCAGGTAAATCCAATTTTAAGGTAGACCATGAAGTAGGGCTGGGCGATATGGGCAAAAATTCATATCTCGGTATTTTTTTGGCCGATTTGCGATATACGGGATATATCTCAGTATTTTCGTTTTTGTATTTGGATGAAAAAAAACTGTATTTAATATATTTCACTTACTGCCCAAAACAATACATATTAAAGGCTATGAAAACAAATAAAGTGAATGTAACCATGTAAGCCTTTATACTATGTGCAAAAAAGGGTTAAAATCACATTTCATTCTAACATTGTAATCTAAAAACAAAAATCAGGCTTTTAAAGCAGAAGATACAATTCACTAAACTTAAAAGTGAAAATAAGTGAGAACAAAGGCACAGAGGTGTGTTAGGCTATTTTGATTACCCCATTACAGTCACTTTACAGTCAGTGCTATCATAAAAATAGACTTAATTGTAGGTTTAAAATTTTACATCACATTTATTGTCCAACTACAAATATTTCAGTGAAATGTATATTTTAGTCAGAATTTTGTGCTGATATTTAATTAAGCTCCATCTGTTTGGCGCGCGCGGTGGCACTCGCTCACTGAAGTCTGTGAAGTTTAGCGGAGAATCCCAAAGCAGAAGGCTCATGCACTTATTTCCATGGCTAATATAAAGCCTGTCATATGTTTAAAAAAAACTGGATTGTGCACTTTCTCCACAGCAGCTCTGTCTGTGTCCTCCGCTATATTTTCAGATGCGCTCCTATATTTTCAGATGCGCTCGTATCAAACTAATGTATAATATAAATCAATATAAACGGTATTGCCTCATATCGTATAGCGTATAAAGAAAATATCGATATATCGTATCAAGGCTCGAAATTGCGACCATTTTGGTCGCATATGCTCCCGAAATTTAATCTGTGCGACCTCAAAATATATTTGGGAGCATTTGTGCGAGTGCATATAATTGTTTTCGTGCGACCCGTTTTCATTTCTCTAAAAACGTTCAGAGTATGTGCCTTCTGGATAGTGGTTGAAAGACTTCTAGTGACTCCGCTATGAAAATGGTTCTATGCACTGCGTTCACTGTAAAGCCTGTGGGACGGAGTTTGCAGGTAACCGCGTTCGCCACCGAATCTACATATTTCGCAGTTGGGAGCACCAGTGCTACCAAGTAAAAAAGTTAATTTCGAGCCCTGCGTATACAAACTTGATATACCGCCCAGCCCTACCATGAAGTCTGTAACTAGTTTTATTGCATCACAACAAACTCTGTGCTGCTGAATTGTCATGCCTCTCTTGGATTGACTACACATTTCATAACTGTCTTAACAGTTTCATAACTGATTGGTGCGTTTTAACAAGTGCTCTATATGACACTTAAATGTCCAAATATGCATATTTACAGTTACAGTTATCATGGATTACTTTGTTTGAAACAGTGTCTGATTGTTCTTTTTGATTTGCCAATGTCACCAATTTGCAAATGCATAAGCATACAGGATCGCATGTGTTACTTGTAATAGAGCTAGTTAAAGGCTCTTCAACCAGCTTTGTACTGTTACAGTGTCAGTAGTATATGTAAATGAACAGTGTCCTCTTTCGTCACTGCACGCAGATATCCCTGTGTTTGCCAGCAAAAGTCTGCTTGATGACACGTTTGTCAGGACTTTTTTTGTAAACTACGTATTGAACATCTGCATGTGTATTCCTGCCAAAATCAAAAGTGCTTAATGGCAAAAGAGAATGCCACAGTCCTTTATCTGTTTTCTGTAGTCAATGTAGCACTAATTTAAAAAAAAAAATCTTATCAGCTGTAAATTACTTAGAAATCATTCAATCCATAATTAAAGTCCAAACTATATTACTGAAATGCAAATGCAATGAACAATTAAATGCTTTTAGACATCTTAACTGTTTTGTTATAGCTGATGTAATTAGTTTTGATCAATTGCATATTTTGTGCTATTTTATGTTGATGGAAATGTTCATGAAATTAATCTTTTTGTTGTTCAGGTGGTGATCACTAGGCTAAAGCTCGACAAGGATCGCAAGAAGATCCTTGAGCGCAAGGCCAAGTCCCGACAGGACGGAAAGGATAAGGGCAAATACAAGGAGGAGACCATTGAGAAAATGCAGGAGTGAAATTATTCTTTTGCTAACAATAAAAGACTGTAAAAACCTGAGTTTTTCACTTTCTGTGCTTTTGTCTTTTATATAAAAGTGATGCTTTTGTTTGAAATGGCAGTGCTGTTACCAAATTGAACTTGAAATGAGAGCATTTGGATTTAAGCTCTGCTTTAGTGGTATCAATGTTTATTTATATAACATCTGAAAATCACAGTTGGAGCAATAGCCGGTTTCTAAACAGAAAAATGAGATCTGGGGAAATTCTTACGCTTCGCAGATATGAGACAAAACTACTTCCTATATGGCCACTTGTTTAACTGATGGGTGTTGTCAGTTGTCTTTTTGTCATAGGAAGCAAAAGCAGTGCCATGAAAATATATGGAAATTTTAAAATTGTGACTTACAGGCACTAAGTAGTCATGCATATCTTTATAGTGATATATTTCTAGTATATAGTATATATTTCTATATTATTTTTTTTTAATTACAAATGACTGGAAATGTGCCAAAGAGGGTATTAAGAGTATTTCACAGCAGTGTTATTTTAGTATCATTGGAATACAATTATATATATATATATTTTAAGTTTAAATTTGAAGAGTTTTTGTCTTATTTTTTTAATGATTTAGTTATTTACGTTTTATAATATTTAAATGTATAAACTAAATTAAAGCTTCAGTAAGTTGTTATTTTTCCTTTTTATTTCAGTTGATGCTTATTTTATTTCAAGTAACGATACTGTTCTTATGGTTTTAGTTAACTGTTCTAACCTTAATTCGCATTGCTGCACTAATTAGTTTTAACAATGCAAGAAGTCAGCGGATGACATTTTAAATAATTCATACTGGTGAAAAGGTTTCATGTGACTGGAGGAGATTAAATACATGCAGGGAACATACCCTACAAAATGCACTTTGTGTACCAAGCCAAACGTTTTGCAATATCAAAAGAAGGCTGTATATTTATGGTAGTCAACATTTGAAGTGGCTCAAAAAAGTTGATCAAAGTTGTCCTAAGACGAGAACGCATTTTGGTTTTAGGACAACTTTGATAAAAGGTTTTGATCCACTTCAAATGTTGATTAGTGCAGTTGGTGTGAGTGCAGAGGAAGAGGTGAGACGTCAGTCATATGTCAGAACGTTCAGGGCCCGAGGAGTCACATGACCATCACCGTGCACACGGCAGTGTGTAGCGCGAGCGCAGTGCTGTGGAGTCTACGAAGTTTATTTGATAGAAAATAAGTTATTAAACCTCGACCTACAAACAAATATCATGGCGGCCACATCGTTTGTGATAGCTATGTCAGTTATGACTTTGTTTTGGGGTCTTATTGGTGGAGTTATTCCCTGGTTTATTCCTAAAGGACCGAATCGAGGGTGAGCAACATTAGCATTTCCTTAAACGAAAGTTTACTGTATTAAACCAACTTTACGAGCCTCTGGTTATCGATGTAATTGAAATGTTATAAAGCCAAAGACTTTATTAACAAAAATATGTTCTTAAACGATACAGTTTATCGTTTTTTTTCAGGAAGACATTACGAACGCCAAAAAGTGAGCGTCACAATAAAATAAAGTTTGTTATTTGACTTGTGTGACAATAGGAAATACATTAAATTCAAATGTAAAGTATCTAGCACAAATTAAAAGCAAATATGTTCAATTTTATTTGTAAAATAATTATATGAATGTCTGGATCATGTGACTGTGCCAAGTGCACAAGGGTGATTTAAAGGGGTCATATGATGCTTTTTTAAAGATCATTATTTTGTGTATTTGGTGTAACAGAATATGTTGACATGCTTTAATGTTCAAAAAACACATTATTTTTCAAATACTGTACATTATTGTAGGTCCTCTATGCCCCGCCTCTCTCAAACGCTTCGTTTTCTACAAAGTCCCTCCTTCCGACAAGCGCAGTCTGCTCTGATTGGCCAGCTGACCCAGTGCATTGTGATTGGCCGAACACCGCAAGCACTCGTCGGAAATGTAACGCCCCTTACCATAATCGCGAGCTTCATCTTTCAAAATAAATGTAAAGACAGAGCCCGAAAGGGGAACAGAGTCGCGTGACAGACACAGTGATGAAGCTGGTATATGTTTGCAGTACACAAGCCACGGTTAAGACAGCTGACTCCACTGTGATGTGACGCTGTCTCTCTCTCTTTCTCTCACACACGAACACACACACCATGTGCAAAACTCCGCATTTGAACAGTCAATAGTTAGATATGTGGGGGCGTGTTAGAACGAGCCGTTTTAGGGGGGCGTGGCAGAGTCGTAACTTCGATAAAGAATATCTCTTTGATTTTGAGACTTTAGTCTTTGCAACTGCAGGAATCTTATCTATGCACAATCAGCTTGTAACACTCCAAAGAGAAAGGAAAACTTGAAATCGCATCATATGACCCCTTTAAAGAAACATATTTACACATCCATGATTATTTTAAATGTTTTATTCATAATACGTGTTATTTATATCTGTAATATGTTATTTATTCATAAGAAGTGTTAAATATCTTTTTTTTTTTTACCATTTTAGAGTCATTGTGACAATGCTGGTACTAACTGCAGTCTGTTGCTACCTTTTGTAAGTACATTGCCTTTAAATTATCTTTGTTACACATTTCTAAAGAGACTCAATAGTAAATGCTGCTTTTTAATATGGTAAAATAGAGAGATTGTTCTATTCTGTATCAGCTGAAAGTCAAACACAGCCTTTGGGCAACTCCAGTATTGATTAGAAAAGAAATACAGCACATCCAGGCCATTTCATGTGCAGTTTACTCCAGTTTCAGATCATAAACTTACAAATAATATTTTACAAATGTGTTAAATAAGATCATAATAGGTCTGAACTGTCCCACTTTGATGTGAATTATTTATTATTTTGAAGAAATATGATCGTGTTTGTTCTCTAACAGCCACTAGGCAGTGCAGACCATATTTTTGCTGCCACATTTGTTCTTGAATTCAGTCTCTTGGCGATATTTAATTTTGACTGTCATGCTCTTCACTCTGTACTTTTGGATATGTTTCAGCTGGCTGATTGCTATTCTGTCACAGCTGAATCCGTTGTTTGGACCAGTACTGACCAACGATACCATCTGGTACCTCAACCAACACTGGCAGTAGGGTCCAATTGTTTCTTTACAAAGCAGGTTAGCAGATCATCCTTTTTACATTATCCACCTTATTTTTCCCGTAAGAGCAGGCACGGCCATTTGTAAATTTTATGGGTCTGGCTTCCGGTCTCATCCGTGTCCAGCTATTTTTAGCTGTACAAAACAGGTCGTTTTGCTGCTTGATATTGCAAATTGGTGTCTTACCATATTATTTGAATGCATTATCTTAATTATGAACACACTGGTTTGTAGTGCAAACAGTTTCTCACCCTTAGGCTTACTTCCGTGTTGAAGAATAAGGTGGATAAATAAAGTCCACTAACATCTTTCATTATGTAAATTATTTAAATGTTTTCCTGTTCACTTCTTTGCAGATGCCGGAAACTTGTAAATGGCCAAATCGTTGGTAAACTCTATTTAACTGAAGCTTTACATGCTGTTCTCTTATGCAAAGAATGACCACCATGACAGTTTGTGTTGTTTTTATTAATTTGATCTCATGTTCGAGGAAATGCAATTAAATATTGTGTTTTTGTCTTTATGTGTGTATATGTACATCACCTTTGTCTCTGTATAGTTTGAGTTGAATGACCTGATTTTTGTTGGAAAAATTAACACGTCCTGTTTTTCTGTCAATATGGGGTGCTGTGTGTACATTAATGAGGAAAAAAAATTAACTTAAATGATTTTAGCAAATGACTCTTTATAACAAAGAGTGAAAAATTTAAGGGGGTCTGAATACTTTCCGTACCCACTGTATGCATGATTTCAAATGTCAAATAAAATTAAGAATGAGAATGATTTGCAACAGTTTTAAAAAAGCATTTTGCAGACTTCTTAAAATCACACAAAGTTGCAGGCCATCTAAGATGATTTTCAACTCACTGAGTTTGTCATAATGTATCTTTGGGTATTTTGGGACGTGACATCGTGCATTCGCATTCCTCTCGGTGAGAAAGCCCATCGGAGGAGACGTCGCTGTGGTTTTGCTCTTTGGCTTGGCACACAGGACAGCAGGCCGTCAGGCCATGCTCTCTGCAGGTGGTGCACGACAGAACCAGCTGGCAGCAGAAGTCTGTGGAGCACAGCTGATATTGATCCCACGGGCAACTACAGTATCTGCACTCTGGGGAAAGGAGAAGTAAATGTTAAGTTTGTCACTCCATACAATCACTTTTGAAAAACTTGCACGAGTACACACCTGAAATGACGTCCTCATTGAATGCGATGGCATAACGGTCATCAAACACAAAGAGTTTACCGTGGTAGAAGCCATCGGGGAACTGCTCTAAGTATTTGTGAATGCCTCCTTGCAGCTGGTACACCTCCTTGCATACATTCTGAAGAATAATACTCATGTTTGAGAATGGCATTACAAAGATATGTAATTTTTTCCCATTCAGACTTACTTTTGATTTGAGATAAGCCGAGCCTCGCTCACAGCGGATGCCTCCTGTACAGTACATCAGAACCTTTTTGTCCCGGAAGAGATCCAAATTTTTATCCACGTAGTCTGGGAAGTAGCTGAATTTCTGGATGTTGGGGGCCAAACACTGATTGAACTGACCCTGAGAACATACTGAACTATTATTAGCTGTAATGTACATACAGTTCTGGGATCAATGACTTTCAAACTACTTACAATTTTGCTCTCGTAAAAGTTTCTGCAGTCCAGTAGTATTGTATCATTGCCCAAGGACTGATTTTCCACAAACGCCTTCACTTCTTTGTGAAATTCCTTTGGTTCCAAGTGTATTCCTTTTTGAAGTACAACATTCGCATGAATACAATAGATTAATATATTGTACATAATTTGATGCATCTTTACTGAATACAAGTATTAATATCTTCAAAAAACACCTAACCTCCAGCTTTTGAAATTTAAATAATATATTTAAATAGGCACACTGAATAAACAATCGTACTATGTATCAAGCAAGTTGTAAAGTGTTTCTCTTACCAGCCAATCTGTAGGAAACGATAGCTGGATCTACACCCATCGGGACAATTTCTTTGTAAACACCAACCTTCAAATCAGAAAAGCACGCTGCACCTCCTTCACTTTTCTGAGGGAAAAGTCAGTGAAGAGCATAGGTGATTTTAGACACTAGTTATTATGGGGGATTCAGACCCCATCTTTCATCTTAGAAAAAAATCTTATGTCTTTAACATCTCCCTTTACCTGAAGTGCCAAAACTTTAAAAGTTGGTTAAATTAAGTATTATCATTTCTCTTTCCTGACAAACATATGCCACTTTAATTGTCAGTCAGTCTCATAATCTCTAAGCACCACTAAAATTAAATCTCGGATTATTATGAGCATTATTTTAATTAATTTTATGCATCTTACCAGTGTTATTCTGGACAGTGGCACAGATACTTTACCTTAAAATCCTGTACTTGCATTATTTTGAAGGTTGGATGTGACAGCATTGCCTTGATGTAAAGATTAGTGGCTGTTTTGGTGCCACCAACCGTTCCATTGATACCTTCCGTAGCCACTCGTACCTGGAGAAGAACAACCTCAATCCAGTAAAATGGCAATAAAAATCTGGAACAAATTTTGCTTTGCTTTTATTTACCTTGCCTGTTAGTTTAAGTTTTAAACAAAGCTCTTTCTGCCACTGACAAATGATCTGAGGATCATTTAACTGACAGTAGCAGTAATACAGCAGAACTTCACCTGGACCCCTAAAACAGAGGAAGTCTTCATATAAGCAGAGCAGATGATATCAGAAACATGCAATCAATGCACATACGTACTTGATGAGGTCATCCTCTGGGATATGGCTTGTATTAGGGATCCAGGATGATACATCTGTTGATTCTTCATGAATGGACTCTTCCTCGCTGTGAGCCTGGTGGAGCATCACGTCCAGTGTCTCAGTGGTCAGCTGGTGAATCTCACTGGCATGGCTGTTGGCAATATGTTTGTGGATTGATGATGACTCTTTGAATGACTGTCCACAGCAGTGCCAAAGAGCTGGTGAGCTGTTTTCACAGGTTGGACGAACTTTCTTGGATGCCACAAATTTCGCAAATGTCTAAACACCATGGGGAAAGTACTGCTATTAAACACTACAATCATCATATCAATAAGCGTAACTTAAAATGATCACTGTACTCACCATTTTCTTGACATGAGGGTACAGTTTCCTTGCTGCTGAAGTCTGGTTTGTCTGCTTTATGGACCTCTGGACCAAGACTCTCAACGTCCAAATCAACAAGCATACTTGCCATTATAATTGTGATACTGATCTCCAATAATTGAGAGAAACCCAACTATTACCTATCACAGTTCACAATCTAATACTTTCAAAACAAAACACCATCCTAAAAACCTGCATATAAAGAAATGTAACCCTTTTGCAATGCAATTTATGTCGTTAACCCTCGACCGGTTATTAAACACTGATAGGTTAATAAAACTAAACATAGAAGAAAACTAAACGTGCATTCATGGCTGTAGAGATAAAATGAGTCGCATCTACCGGTGTCCGATTCGCGAATGATTAATTATTTTGACTCGGATCTTTTAATTGAATCAGATTCTAAATGACTATTTATCAGGTAAATTATAGCTGCAACAAACTGAACTGGGACGAGCAATAAACACACTTATTAAAATAGAAAGTTTAAAGCGTGTTTTTTACGCTGCAAGAACAACTAATAGGACACAAGGAATACAAGTTTTGCAGCATACCAGGGATCATAAGCCTACTTGTGTAAAATAAGTAATTGTTTTGAAAACGAAGTTCTCGAAAGAAACGATTCTTGGTGATGAATCGGACTTCTCACCACGAATCGCAACAATACACGTGTTTCCGTTGACGCAGCTGTTAGCCCGGATGTGCTCTCCTTAAATCAACCGCTTTTATTTTTCTAGCGTGGCTAACGGCTGTTACCATTCAAAGCTGCAAGCTTTACTAAACGCAATTCAGTGGATTTAAAATAGTTCCAAAAAGTGTATGCGTAGCGGTTTTTCCATACTATTTCAACGGTCTGAATATTGCATTTGAGAAATGTCGAGGCGAAGGCACAGCGATGAGAGTGATGGTGAGTGAGTTAGCATGCAGGTTGACAGATGTGTTTATGTAATTTTCATATTGTGTGTTTGTTTACTCTTATGATTGCAAATGAAAGACTTTCTGACAATATGGCAGCAGAAGGGTGCAGTATTTGGCATATGTAGTCTGTTTATTTGCATTAAGTGTATTTGCATTTAAAAAAAGCCTCAAGTAACCAATTAAATGTTACTTTTCGAACAGATAGGAAGCTTTCAGATAAATAAAGCGCTTTGAATTTGATTATGATAATTTAGGACAGAATGCAAGTCTCTTTGCACTATTTAATACTATTTCATTGCATTTTCTTAAAACTCTCATAGTACTTTTATTTACCATTAAATATTTGTCTTTTATTGTCTCAAAATTACACTACATAATTCAGCTAATTGTGTTGTCATTCATGTTAGAAGTGACAAATTGAATGCTTGTTTTTTAGTTATTTGGCTGTTTTTGTTCTGATAACACTGTCCACTTTGATTAAAAGAAATGTTCTCATTTGTTTCAAACATGCAGACTTGTTAGAGGATAATATACGTGGTCAATTTCAAAGTTAGCTAAAAGTTCACCTATAAGACTCATATGCTTGAGTTTTTCCATTCCAGCCGGCTCCCAGCCTCACAAACGGAGGAGGACGTCTGAACCCATTGAGATTGAAGACCGCTTGGAGTCGCTGATATGTCGAGTGGGAGAGAAGGTATAGTCTCGCACATCTTACTGCTCATGCAGAAGTTTTTATTTTATTTTAGACATAACTGATTAATGTATATTCTTCCAGAGTACGTCCTCCTTAGAGAGCAATTTGGAAGGTCTTGCTGGTGTCCTGGAGGCGGATCTTCCTAATTATAAAAGCAAAATCCTGCGCATCTCATGTGCTGTGTAAGCGACCTGTATTTTAATGTGCAATGTTTCCTTTTGCTTCAAAAGTGAATCTCACTATGCAATGGATGTTGTATATAACACTTTGTTTGTTTTTGCGCAGTGCAAGGCTTTTGCCAGAGAAGTTAACGGTGTACACAACACTAGTGGGACTTCTTAACGCTCGCAACTACAACTTTGGAGGAGAGTTTGTGGAGGCCATGATCCGACAACTTAAGGAGACACTAAAATCAAACCTTTACTCTGAGGCCGTTTACTTGGTTTGTGCTGTTTAGCATTTATAAAAAAAAAAAATGCATCACAACTTTATTTTAAGTTTTGATGGTGTTTAATTCATCATGTGCACTGCAGGTGCGCTTTCTCAGTGACCTGGTGAACTGTCATGTCATCGCGGCTCCATCCATGGTTGCTATGTTTGAGAACTTTGTCAGTGTCACGCAGGAAGAAGACATACCACAGGTGAACATGACCCTAAGCATCCCTAGCAGATCATATTCATAGATAATCGTGAGGCTGACAGATGTGTCTGTACAGGTGCGGTCTGACTGGTATGTGTACGTTGTGCTGTCCAGTCTACCTTGGGTTGGCAAGGAGCTGTATGAGAAGAAGGATGTGGAAATGGATCGCTTGCTCAACCAAATTGAGGGATATTTAAAGTAGGTTCCTCTTTCAGCTGTGAAATTACTATCATTTGCACAAAAAGATGCAAGATGCAACACATTATCTTTTGTAGTGTCGTATATTTCCCGGTAATATTCATGGAGAAATAATGTAGAACCATCAGGATTTGAAACATGTTAGGCTATGATATTAACTCTGTAAAGCCTTACATATTAAGCACTAGTCTGGAAAAAAAAAATAGCAATACGTTTATTGAACTTTTAGACAAAAAGTTTGTAAAAGATCTAACAATATAAATAAAAATAAGCTCATACTCAAGGATGGGAAAAACAATTTTATTCTGATATTTTAAGTATTCTAATGTTTATATGGCCAAAAGTTAAGATGTAATTTTGATTGTTTGTTTTGCTTGTAATGTAAATCAGTTCAGATCTATATAATAGAATAGTAGACTACATAAATAAAATGCATTTAAAAATATCAGTTGTCAGTCTATTTCTCCAAATAATATCTTAGTAATATCATATTTTAAAGCTTAGTTTTAAAGATCATATGATGCAGAACATATAATGCAGTGCAATACAATGATGATTTAAATAAATATTCATTAAATGTATTTGATCTATCATATTTGATACTTTATTTAACATGATTTCTAAAAAATGATATATGGATAATCAAGTAAACTTGGGTTGCACCAGTCCAGTAAGTGTTCATCTTGAACAGTTACTAACAATATAAAAGTTATTCTTACTTTTTGTATATAAAAATCATCATAGATTTTACAGTAAAAAGACGTGTGAACTACAACCTGACTTGGATGTGTTTAGAATTATGCTAAAAGGTCTTTATAAAAAGTATAAGCATATAGCTACTATAATCAATCAGATGACAGAATGTAGGAAGTTTTTCAGCAAAGTTTTGATTGAGTATAATTTAGAAGCCTGAATCTGATACAGTAGGCTTTAAAGGGTTAAAAAACTTTATTTATATATATGTATATATGTATGTGTGTGTGTACTGATAGAATAATGTGCTAGTTTTGATACCATGTTGTCTTTAAAACAATAACTTGTACCTTATTTTTCTTTGTTGATATTATGATGTTTGACGGCTCAAATGTGGTTATGCAAGTAGATTACAGAAAATACAGAGGAGTCTGCTGTGAAATGTCATGATTTGGGTTTTGTTACAGGCGGCGTCAAAAGACTCATGTTCCTATGCTGCAGGTGTGGACCGCAGAAAAGCCCCACCCACAGGAAGAGGTGAGAGTCCGAAAACAGGCTTCATCTATTCCAGCCTCATCACCTTATCTATAAGCACTAACAAAATATCAATCACAGTTATTCTCAATGCAGTTGTTAATGCAATTTGGGTTGTATTTTCCATGTATTTATTCATGTATTTTGAGGATGGGTTTGTCTTGCAACCAGCCCATTTTGGATTCCCACTAATTTGACTACCGTAGAGTTTGGTTAGATGCAGAACTTTTGACATTATCAAACAAATGATATGGAAGGTGCTTTCTCTTTGTCACATTTGATTCATTCTAGGTATGTGTGTTTGTATACAAATATATATTTATTTATAATTCCCCTCCCCCCTTTTCTTGTCAGTGACCCTATCAGAACAGACTTAGAACCCACCAGTTGAGAGCTGCTCTGTCCTTTCACTGTAATTAATTTCTTCTGTGTCTCTCTGTGCAGTATCTGGACTGTCTCTGGGCTCAGGTGCAGAAGCTGAAGAAAGACCGCTGGCAGGAGCGTCACATCCTGCGGCCTTATATTGCATTTGACAGCGTGCTGTGTGAAGCCCTGCAGCACAACCTGCCCCCTTTCACACCTCCAGCCCACTCTGATGACGCTGTCTACCCCATGCCCCACGTCGTCTTCCGCATGTTCGACTACACTGATGCCCCAGAGGTGCAGTAATGTTTCAAATCTAGTCCTAATTTTTCAACTGGATCTATAATGGGACTAGGGTTGGGCCATGTCTACAAAATTGGCATCGGACGATGTCTACAGTGAAACATCGCGATGGACGATGACATCGGCAGGGGGAGGGGTGTGGGTGAAGAGTTAGGGGGTGTGCCCGAAGCGTGAATCCTTATAAGGGAAAACACGATTCTTAACACCGTGTCTACAACACATGCTGTGACAAAATACTATAGAACCACTGATCTATAATAGAGATTTATTATATATAGATTAGTCTATAGAACTCATTATAATCAGTGATGCGGTCTACACTGGATGCGGTGCGACATGACAAATCCCCGACGGTTGCCTGTTACATCCTACAGTACATAAAATTTCACTTAACACATAAACAGAGTGAGGAGAGATGACTGAGAACGATGGCGAATGATTTGCAGATCCTCAGTACCACTGACAAACATATAATCTTGTAAAATGTGTGGCAAGTACTGCCGCTCCATAGTATAAACAGAGTACCCTGCGATCTCGAAAGTAAAACTAAAAGCGATCGTGCATTCAAAAGCATGATGCCAGTTTCAATGCCAGGTATAATAGTGGCTCCCTGATGCCGAAATATATATGTAGTATACCCAATTATATACCTGCGAGGAAAAATATTGAAATATATATTTTCCTCCCATCTCGTATTTTTCTACATTCTACATGTTCTTTGATGAATAGAAAGTTCAAAATCATTTATTTGAAATAAATCTTTTGTAACATTATAAATGCCTTTCCTGTCACTTTTGATCAATTTAATCCATCCTTGTATAAAAGTATTATTTCTTAAAAAAAGGTAATGCATAATCAGTTTGATTAATTTTATTTTAATTTATTTTAAATTTGTTTAGTTTCATGTTCTTGTGGATGCTGTTTGTATATGTAAGTGTGTTTATGTCTGTCTGTTGTCAGGGGCCAGTGATGCCAGGAAGTCATTCAGTCGAGCGCTTTGTGATTGAGGAGAACCTGCGCTGCATCATCAAGTCTCACTGGAGGGAGAGGAAGACCTGGTCAGTTCTTTTCATATGCTGATAGCATTACTTTTTGCTTTTAGTTTTTTTTTTTTTAAACTTAGCCTACATACTTGGCCTTCAAGTGTTGTTTTTTTCCTCTTTCTTTTGCTCTTTCAGTGCTGCCCAATTGCTCAGCTACCCTGGAAAAAACAAGATTCCCCTTAACTACCATATTGTGGAGGTAAATAAGAATGTGATGCTGGTCATTTTTTATTTGATAATATGGCAAAATATATTAGCTACTGTTAGTGCAGTAAATGGGCACTTAAGCCCTATTCGGACGGGACTAGTTTTACAGGGGGTCTTTCGAGGAATTTGTGTTTCGTAGACGTACTTTGCGGTTTTAATCCTGTCCGAATCTGCCACATCAGTGTTTTTCTCAAACAACCTCTGTAATAATTCACGAGCAAATTATCTACTGTTTTTCAGCAAACTTCGTGATCCTCTGAGAAAACTTATCCTGTCCAAATGCGAATGTCTGATTGCAGACAAGATTTTTTTCACAACGCGTTTCATTGTGTGTTTTGGCCAACGTGAACTACCGTAGACGCTGTTACTACTGCGTGCATTTTTGATATGTTTGCCTCATGGCAAAGAAATGAAAAAATAATAACCAAATCACGTAAACTCTTAAGACTGGCTACTGTAACATCAGCGTCAGGTAAGATTACTCACCTTCATTTCTGCACTCTGTGGGTGAAGAGTTAGGGGGTGTGCCCGAAGCGTGAATCCTTATAAGGGAAAACACGATTCTTAACACCGTGTCTACAACACATGCTGTGACAAAATACTATAGAACCACTGATCTATAATAGAGATTTATTATATATAGATTAGTCTATAGAACTCATTATAATCAGTGATGCGGTCTACACTGGATGCGGTGCGACATGACAAATCCCCGACGGTTGCCTGTTACATCCTACAGTACATAAAATTTCACTTAACACATAAACAGAGTGAGGAGAGATGACTGAGAACGATGGCGAATGATTTGCAGATCCTCAGTACCACTGACAAACATATAATCTTGTAAAATGTGTGGCAAGTACTGCCGCTCCATAGTATAAACAGAGTACCCTGCGATCTCGAAAGTAAAACTAAAAGCGATCGTGCATTCAAAAGCATGATGCCAGTTTCAATGCCAGGTATAATAGTGGCTCCCTGATGCCGAAATATATATGTAGTATACCCAATTATATACCTGCGAGGAAAAATATTGAAATATATATTTTCCTCCCATCTCGTATTTATTCCCTTTAGGGGTTACGCCTACATGTTATTTTCTTTCCGAACACGGTATTGGGGGGGGGATCACGATGCCGGCACAACATCGTGATGTCTATCAGTTTACCGGCCCAACCCTAAATGGGACATCAGAGGAAAAAATGCATAATCCTTTAAAAACATGAAAATGCGTTTTTATTTAAAGGTCTTTAATTGCATTCTTTAGCATCAGTGTTGAAAATAGTTGTGCTGATTATTATTTTGTGGAAACAATGCTACATAGTTTTCAGAATTTTTGATGAATAGAAAGTTCAAAAGCATTTATTTGAAATGGCTTTTAATTGCCATTAATTAAATTCTTTAGCACCAATGTTGAAAATAGTTGTGCTGCTTATTATTTTGTGGAAATAATGCTACATAGTTTTCAGAATTCCTTGATGAATAGAAAGTTCAAAAGCATTTATTTGAAAGAAATCTTTTGTAACATTATACATGCCTTTCCTGTCACTTTTGATCAAATTAATCCATCCTTTCTGTAAAAAAATCCCACTGACCCCGAACTTTTGAACTGTGATGTATATTCAGTTTTATTAATTTTTAATTTGCTTAAAATTGGTTGCGTTCCATATTCTTGTGGATGCTGTTTGTATATGTAAGTGTGTTTTTGTCTGTCGTCAGGGGCCTGTGATGCCTGGAAGTCATTCAGTTGAGCGCTTTGTGATTGAGGAGAACCTGCACTGCATAATCAAGTCTCACTGGAGGGAGAGAAAGACCTGGTCGTAAGATTACTCACCTTTCATTTCTGCACTCAATTACATTTTTAATTACATTACTGTATGTACCTTTACAAAAATGAAACATGGGTTTACTAAATAAATACAAAAATAAAATAGTTAAAGTAACCACAAATTAACCATGGTTTTGCTATACTAGCCATAGCTTAACCATGGCATTTGTAATAAACCTGTGATTATATTTAATGGTAATCAATCCGAATGACTATATGCAATGTACGCATACAGAGTGTGTGATCTCTGCGATGCCCAGATGTACAAAACAGACCCTCCCACAGAGATGTTAGTTCTGTCCTAATTGGTACATGAAAATCACAGATGTCGGGTGACAAGAAACGAAACTCAAGCGTAGTTTAGAAAACTAGTCCCGTCTGAATAGGGCTTTAAATAAGTTATTTCAGTTAATGCTATATCTGTATCTCTGTAGGTGATATTTGGTGAGTTATTCCAGCTGCCGAGTCCTCCTCATATTGATGTCATGTACACTGCGTTACTCATTGAGCTCTGCAAACTGCAACCGGGCTCTTTACCACAAGTTGTATCCTTCATACTGACGGAAAACCATGCGAATTTGTGTTTTTAACTGATTCCTCCTTCACATTGTGCCACAGCTGTCTCAAATTTAAACTTTTGGTAACATAAGTGTCCCCTACTGTTGTAGTTTTCTTTAACCTGCCATTATTCAGCTTGCTCAAGCCACAGAAATGATGTATATGAGGCTGGACACAATGAACACAACCTGCATAGACCGGTGAGTCTTCAATTTGAAGTTGAATAGTTGGCTAAGCCATTCCCTTTTGTTAAAGGGATAGTTCACCCAAAAATGAAAATTGTCATTTACTCACCCTCATGCTGTTCCTGTATTTCCTGTATGAGTTTCTTTCTTATGTTGAACATAAAAGAAGATATTTTGAAGAATGCTGGTAATCAAACAGTTGATGGTCCCCATTGACTTCAACAGTATTATTTTCCCTACTATAGAAGTCATTGGGGACCAACAACTGTTTGGTTCTTCAAAATATCTTTTGTGTTCAACATAAGAAAGAAACTTATACAGGTTTTGGGTTTAAATAATATATCTCATCCTGAGAAAGTAAAGTTACCAAGTTGAATTCTGATAACAGACTTTGAATTGAATCCTCATTAAAAGTAAAACTTTTCTTACTACAGTAAAAAAGAAATGTTAGCAACATTGACTTCAAAGAGGCTTGAGAAACTTCAAAGCTTTTGTCCCTTTAATGTTTCTTTAATATGGTGGATTATTCTGTTTCAGGCTCATCAACTGGTTCTCCCATCATCTGAGTAACTTCCAGTTCAGATGGAGCTGGGATGACTGGTGAGGATGAGCTGTTTCCTCTGGGAATTATTTGTACATGCTGTGCATTGTCTGTTTGTGTTTAAAAAGTTGTGAATTGTATTGAGTATTGAATTTTGATCTCTTCAGGGCTGACTGCTTGACTCAAGATATTGAAAAGCCTAAACCCAAGTTCGTTAAAGAGGTTTTGGATAAGTGTATGAGGTAAATTTCACACATCTCTTTATTAAGTTGCATTGCTTTTTATAATTGCTAATTGGACCCAGTTAATGCATGCTGTTATGTTTATTACACTGAGCCTTGATTATGAACATGCAGGTTGTCGTATCATCAGCGGATAGTGGACATTGTTCCTCCGAGTTTCTCTGCCCTGATCCCAGCTGACCCTGTGTGCAGCTATAAATATGGAGAGGAGGCTGACAGTATGTTCGTGCTCACGAACACATTTGTGATTCAATGTGTACATTTATATTTATATGCATGCATGTATACATGTCTTCAATTTTACGTTCTCATAGTGACAACCGACCACTTCCACTGTTTTATTATTTATTATTTTGCAGCTGTATTATATTATCTTTCAGTATAGTTGTGTAATGTTGTTTGTCTTTGTCTTTTAATTTGGTTCAGGTTCATTACCAGGATTAGCTATGGCAACTACAGTGGGTAACGCTATCAAAAACCGGGCATCTAATGAGGAGATTCTTATTGTTCTAAAAGATGTCCCTAATCCAAACCAGGATGATGATGATGGTGGGTCTGCCTTTTGGTCTCATATGACATTAAGCCACTTGCCAATCATGGTCCAACATCTAGTCTAGGGCAGGGGTCCTGAACTCTGGAACTTGAGATCCACTTTCCTGCAGAGATTAGCTCCAACCTGGATTAAACACACCTACCTGCTACTTTGTAGTAATACTGAAGACCTTGATTAGCTTGTTCAGGTGTGTTTGATTTTGGAGCTAAACTCAGCAGGAAAGTGGTCCTGGTCTAGGGCTATCAATTGAATTTAAATAGATAATTGTTAAAGATATTCAATAAATTAACTAAATATTTATAACGTATTTAATATTTATGTACGTAATTCATAATGCTACATGCATTATGAATTACGTATATACGCATATATACATATACATTATATACATTTCATTAAATAATCCTGAAAAAGTCGCTATAATACAATGATTTCTGAAGAATCATGTATCACTGAAGACTGGTGGAAATTCAGCTTTGCCATTACAGAAATAAATTGTATTTTTAAACATGAATATAGAAACGTTAATTTAAATTGTAGTAGTAATTCACAATATCACTGTTATGAACAAATAAATACAGCCTTTATGAGCAAGAGACTTTTCAAAAGCATTTTTATTTTATTTGTATTTATCTTTCATTGATTGTTATTATTAATTTTATGAATGTTATTCATTTTAATTATTTATTCTAAATGGTTGGTCTACTTAAAGGACTCAGAGGTTTTTGGAAATTACACTGGAAAAAATAGGTTATTAACTGGTGTTATTTGAGTAAAAGATATTGTTTAACATCACTGAACCAACCTATATACATTACTTTATACCTGCAAAACTAATTTATATGGGTTAAATCAGGTAGAAGTAGCTATTTTTTATTTATTTATTTTTTTTTTAATCATAACATCACAGACCTTGAATGTAAATACTAAGAAAATAAAAAAAGGAAACAAAAAAGCAACAAACAAACTCATAAGTACAGTGAATAATACTTCAGGGTAATTTAAAAGGAACATACAAATAAACCACGGCAGCAAATTTCAACTTGGCATTGTGTATTATGAGTATATTTGGCTCTTATTACAGATTGTTCCTCATTTGTATATTGCTTTGGATAAAAGCATCTCCTAAGTGAGTGAATGTAAATGCGTGGTTTTCTGTATGTAACCACACTTCTCCTTTCTATCCAGACGGGGGCGATGGCTTCAACCCTCTAAAGATTGAAGTGTTCCTGCAGACGCTGCTCCATTTGGCTGCGAAGTCTTTCAGTCATTCCTTCAGTGCCCTGGCCAAGTGAGTATCTCCTGCCAAACCCCACACAGGCCTGCCAGCAGCTGGCTCCGTGCTCCCTCTCCTGCTCACAAACACTGCCTGTAATTGCTAAAAGCACAGATCATTGAGAACGTATCAAAGCTTGTTAAATGCTCAGGTGCCGTTCTTCTGGTAAACGGCAATGGACGTGTTTATTTTCTCTCTCAGGTTCCATGAGGTTCTGAAGACCCTTACAGACAGCGATGAGGGGAAACTGCACATCCTCAGGGTTCTGTATGAGTTCTGGAGGAACCATCCTCAGGTGGGATCATTCAGACATCATATTTTATATGTTGTATTGTTTGTTTGCACGCCAGCCATGGCATTTATAAGAGCTCATGCTGTCATTGTACTCTTTCAGATGATCTCAGTGTTGGTGGACAAGCTGATACGGACCCAGATTGTGGACTGTGCAGCTGTGGCCAACTGGATATTTTCTCCCGAAATGGCTCATGATTTCACCAGGTAAACCTGCAGAACACACTTACTTGTGCAGGGGAGGTCACTGCAGCTGTAACTGATTTACGTTCATTGGGTCTATGCAGGTTTTATGTGTGGGAGATTCTACATTCCACCATCCGGAAGATGAACAAACACGTGCAGAAGATTCAGAACGAGTTGGATGAGGCAAAAGTAAAGCTGGAGAAGCAACACAACAAAAAGGTAGAGAAAAAATATTTTTGACTGCTAAGGCACTTGTGCATGTGGGCTTTTGTTCAAACCACAGCACTCTGATTTGTTTTTTTTGTTTTTTTTTGCTATTCTGATCTTTGGGATTGCCTGTTCTTCACTGTTACTTTAGTAAGGGCTTACATTGCATCGTTTGTTTGTGCAGTGCAGACAGTTAGTATCTGGAACGTCAACATTGGTTGCTGTAGTAATAATGTAGGTGTCGGCCCTAAGCCAACACACTTTCTCATCCAGCAACTAGTGAGGATAGACCAGACGGACAACTGGAAATTTGGCTTCTGGTTGGTCACAATGTCTAGCCACAGCATTGAATTGGTGCCTGAGACAACATATGCTGTTGAGGAGGGATTACTGCATTTGTTTTTTGTTTTTTTTTACATCCTACCTAGTAGGGCTGTGCGATTTGGGGGAAAATATCAAATTGCGATTTTT